CTTGCACACCTTTTCAGAATATTAACAGATTCATTGATCCGATGATGAAGAAGAAATACATTTTGACAGTACCGGAAATGTTTTTCTTTCTATTGTCTTTTTTATTATTTATTGGCTTGCATTTACCTACGGGTCTATATTTACTGATTTTTTGGTTTTCAATTATGTTGGGATGAGAAAATATTGCTTTTTGGCCCCCAAATCAAGATTTATGTGGTTCTAAGCAACACCAGGAGCTGTGGAGTATATCTCTGTTGACATACAAAACAACCTTTTATGTTTTGGGTTATTATCTTTTTGCTTAGATTTTTAGCTGAAGTAATTTTGTATAGTTGATTTGAGCAATAACCTGAACTGATATATATCCATACTTTTTCACAGAGTACATTTTTGGAAACTAAGCTGAAAAAATCTCTTGGAGTGTTTCCTAAATACTGGTTCATAAAAACACATGAGAGGGAAACAGTAGAAAAAAGCGGGTGATTTATCAATGCGATTTTGTAGCTGTCATCTGATGATTGTGTTAATATGGACTTTGTGCAGGTCTACTTCAGGGAGTGGAGATAACAATGGGCCCGCTTCTCAGCACGACTCCACCTCTTCGGATGGTTTCGGGTCAGGCAGTCGGAAGCTGCTTCCGAGCCTGCATTGTTGTTGCGGATGGACTGAGGACTGGTGCTGGATGATGTGCATATGGACGTACTCAAGAGGGGTCACCGTCGATAGCCTCCCGAGCAGTGTTAGAGCACACAATAGTTTGCTCTGCGTGAGCCTTTACCCACCTGCAAAATTTGCAGGCTCGAGGTACGGAACCATGGCAGATAATCTCTAGGTCAATTCTTTTTTTTTTTCCTAACGCGTTTTGTTTTCTCGCATTGTTCGGTTTTTCATGTGTTTAATTTTTCCTACTTTATGAGTTTCAGCTAACTGAGTTACTGTATATCTTCAAAGTGTGCGCTTCGTACCTTTGGTTCAACCTGTATTGGTTGTTGGTTCAGGTAATATCGACGGGTTATGTGAATTATGAGCACACTGTTTGTTTATTTGATTTTTTATGCAGAGTAAGCCCATGTGGATACAAGCATGTAGACGTCGATTATTAATCCAAAGGGCAACCTGATTATATTTGAAGATATTGAGGTAGTTGTCCAGTCGAAAGATGGTCACTAGCAAAGAGTCGGGGCTGAAGCATATCACCAATGCCGGTTCTGCTCCGGTGGAAAGCCAGCTATGTGAGTGTACAAATTGTTGATGGATCTTAGACGCCTCGCGGGCTGTACGATATAGATATCCGAATGGTAATTTTTTTTTTCCCCCTAATTTGTATCTCTATTGCGTGAGTATTCAATATATGGATGTGCTTGTTGATATCTCAGGCTCTATAAACAAACATAAAAGGAATGGGAATGAGGATTTAAGATTAAAGGTTACTTTGAGTAGTTCTTCCAATTAAAACTTCATACTGAATTTTTTAAATCTGTAATTTATGTATATTAGTTCACTTTCTTTTCGTGTACTCTTCTTTTGATAAAAAGATGCAATTTTTAAGCAATATGCTTTAAGTTTTGCAAATGATGGAGGGCATTGGAACTCTGAGTTTGGGGGTTTGTTTAGGGATTTTGTGTGCATTGAGTTGTGAGAGATGGTTTCATTTATGGCTTTTTGAATTTAGGCACAAGCATGGATTAATAGGGCCGCAAGAAGTCGGGCTTCTGCGTGGAAAGTAGGCAATAAACATCCTTGTAAGGTTATGTTTTTGCTATGTACTTAAAGAGTGTTATGTGGCTCCATTTGTTCGCTTACTCATGTTTGTTTTACTAATCTTTTACGTTTTTTTTTCTTTTTATTATTTTTAAGT